CTCGATTTCAAAATTCGGAAAATTTTCTAGAATTTTTTAGACTAGTATTTTTTAAATTTGCGATATGAATTTTTCTTTTTCCGAATTTTTATAAAATTTTGAGTTGCGAGAACCTCGAATGACTAATGACTAATGAAGTTTTTGTAATTCTGGACATTTTGAAACACATTTTTTGAAAATTTTTAAGATTCAAAAATTTATTGAAAGTGAAAAATTGAAAATTAAGAAATCTCGATTTAAAAAATGTCTTTTTGGAATTTACGAAATTACAACAGCTTAACAATTCCTAGAACGTTTAAGGGCGAACCTCAGGACCACAATACTTCAGCTCTCCAAAATATCATTTTCGGAGCTTTTTTATCGCGATTTTTGCGATTTTCTAGCTCATTTTTCTTCAAGAAAAGCCAAATAAAATCAATATTAAAATTTTCAGCTCATTTTGTTTTTTAAATTTTCAGCAAAATCATATAAAAAACGACAGCCAAAAAAAAAGTTTCTTTAATTACCGTATTTTAAAGGAACATGCTCACCAACAACGCTAGGGTCTCGCAGCGAATAGCATATTCTACGCATTTTCTTGAATTTCTCGCCGTTTGAGCGCCTCTCATTACTAAATGGAGCGAGAATTAAACCTAATATTTCCATCCACCGCTTCTCATCTCTCTTCTCTCTAATCCCTCCTCTCTTCTCCCACTCTCTCGCCTCCTCGTTTTGAAGCGTTGGCCTTTTGTGTCTGCGTCTCTCTCTCTTCTACTATTCTTGCTATTGGTATTATCATTCAGTTTACATAGTATTATTCGTTCTGCTTGCTAAAAATATGGGAATTTATATAATGAATATTCGCTATTCTGGCTTGAATTTATCGATTTTTTGCTGAAAAAATCAATTTTTATGTGAAGAAAAAATCGATTTTTCCCTGTTTCAGCGGCGATTATGTCCTACGGAGGTGGTTATAATAACCGTGGAAACGGCGGTGGCTTCCGTCAAAATAACTACAATAATGGTGGCTACAGTAACGGCAGCAACAACTACAGTAACCAATATGGCAACAGTAACAGTAATAGCTATCACAATATGCCACGTGTCAATGAGATCGACGTCCCACAGTCGAAGCACACAATTTTTATTCGCGGGCTTCATGGTGACGTCACCACTGAAGAGATACAGTAAGTGTACAGTAGACCGAATTTGCGAAAAAAAATTTTCAAAAAAAAATTTTTTTTGCAGTTTTTAAATTTTCACTCTTCAGGTTCTCTAATTACTCTCTTTCTGTTTTTTTTTCTCTGTCAAAAAATTTTATTTTGGATGATTTTTCGGATTTTTTACTCGCCGGACAAGATTAACAACGGGATTTTATGGATGAGCAATGTTGGGATTTTCGCATTTTTTGATTTTTAATAAAATTTGTTTAATTGCCTAATTATGCCCCCTTTCAGGGAGTATATCGGTCAGAAAGTCGGCAAAATCTCGTTCGATTTTGTGAAACAAGCGCAAGATAAGTCGAAATTATTTGTGGCTGTGCGATTTGAGAAGCGAGATGAGGCCAAGATTTTTATGGAGACGTAAGTGTGCTCTGGGGAGAGATTTCTTGAATTTTTCAGAAATTTTGGCTGAAAATCATGTGAAAATCATTAAAAAATCGATTTTTGAAATTTTCAAAAAAACCGAATTTTTAAATTTTTCTCTCGAAAATTCGAAAAATTTAGTGAAATCAAAAAAATTCTCAGAATTTTCGGCTTTTTAGAATTTTTAAAAAATTTAAATTTTTCGATTTTTTTAAACTTTGGATATTTGAATTTTCAGCTAAATTTCTCAAAAAAATGAGCTGAAAACGGGATTTTTAGCTTTTAAAATAGAGGAATTTTTCGAATTTTTGGTGTTTTCAAAACTAGAAAAACTCGATTTGTCAAATTTTCGAAAAATCCGAAAAATGTAATTTTTCTAATTCTAAAAATCTAAAAATTGAGTTTTTGAGAAATTTGAAAATTTTGAAAAATTCAAAAAAAAATTTTTTAGTCCGGAAAATTTTCATTTTTTTCACCCATTTTATATAATAAAAATCCCGTTTTCCCTCAAATTTTCGCAATGGAGCACATTTTCAGCTACTCGGACCGCGAGTTCCTTGGCTGTCGTTGCGAGTTGACCTGGTTCCGAGACATACGTCGTTATTGTGCCTATCAGCGAGCCAAACAACTCCGTGGATCCGGAAAAAGAAGACGTCAACGATCGGATTCAGATGAATCGTCATCGAAACGATCCACGTCACCACCGGTACAACGTCGTCGCTCCAGAAGTCGAAGCCCAAGACGTTCAGAATCTAGAAGCCAATCTAGAAGTGTCTCCAGAAGCCCGAGTCGCTCCCCATCAAGATCCAAGTCTCCAGAAGAGAAGAAGGCTCGGAAGAGCCGCTCGAAGACGTCAAGAGTGTCCAGAAGTCGTTCTAGAAGCGAGAGTAGCAGAAGCTCAGCGTCGGAGAAGTCGTCTGGAGAGTCTTCTGGAGAAGATGGCGTGTTCTCGTCCAGAAATACTTCTAGAAATTCTTCAAGAGCCGCGGTTGAGAAAAAGGAGGAGAATAAGAAGCGTCGCAGGGAATCAGTGACTTCGGAGAGATCTGAAAAGGCGGAGAAAGCAGAGAAAGCGAAGAAAAAAGTGATTCCACAGATACCACTTCCACCGAAAACGCCGGAAAAGACTCCTGAAAAGACTCCAGAAGCGAAGAAGGAGGCCTTTATCGCCCCGCCCACTTTGGATTTACAAGTCGAGAGCCCACCACAACACGTGGCAGAAGATTATCAACAGAAAGTGGCCTATTCGGTGCCACTGGAGGTCGAGGAGCCGCCGAAAATTATTGTTAGAGAGCCGGTTACACCGGTTCAACCAGCGAAACAGGAGAGGTAAATGGCGCGAAATTTGAAATTTTACAGATTTTCAGGAGATTTTTAAAGATATTCTTGGTAGAAATTTACGATTTTTTCAACTATTCTATTTTAAGTTGAAGTTTCCAGGCGATTTACTTTTTTTCCGAAACTTCAAATTTTTTCCCCAAAAATACCGAATTTTCTCCGAAAAATCAAGATTTTTGGGCAATTTTTCAGTTTTCCAGCTGCAAATTCATGAATTTTCGTTCATTTCCCTGAATTTCTCGCTTTTTTTCATCCCAAAACAACGAAAATCGATGTTTCTATTGTCGGATTAAAAAAGTGACACCTGAAAATCTCGGAGACGGAGCGAAAACTGATACTGTAGATAACAAATTTATTTATGTGAATTTAGTGGGATTTTGTGAACAAAATTCTGATTTCTTAGTATAAAAATGATCGCTGGCATCTCTAGAATCTATGTTTCAGCGAAAAACTAAACTTAAACGCGAAAGTAGCTCGAACGAGCCGAAATTCTGAAATATTACGTTTTTTGCCGCGCAAGCGCGCTCCATTGAAAATCATCACCTGAAATTTGAGCGCGAAATTTGAATTTTTCAAGTCTTGCGCAGTTCTTTACGAAATTTTCTCGATATTTTTTGCTGAAATTTTTTGTTTTTATCTTGGAAAAACCTGAAAATCTCGAAAAAGTTTAATTTTTGTGGGATTTTTAGGCTAAAAATTCGAAAATTTTTGTCGATTTTTGAAAATTCAAAAAATTGGGGAAAAATCGGAAAATTAGCGCTGAATCAGTCACTTTTCTCAGAAAAAAAGCCTTCTGTGATTTTTCAAATTTCAAAGTACCGGAAAATGCAAACGCGCCCTATAGACAATAACGAAATCCACGTATTTTCCAGCTCAACTCCTCCTCCAGCTCCTCCACCAGCTCAAGTGGTGGCTCCACAACTAATCGCATCACCTGCCGCGGTGGTTACCCCAGCAACGCCTTCTCAGCCAGCCTTCGTGCCACGTCAAGTGGGCAAAATCGAAATTCTGATGCCTGCGTCTCTAGCGGTGCCTGTCGAGCAGGAGACTCCGCCCGCCGTTTCCAACGCCTTACCGGCAGTCAAGCAGCCGACGATGAACGAGTATCCGACTACTAATAAGTGAGAAATTTTGAGTTTTTGGCCTAAATATCTCCTAATTTTGAAAATTTTCCAGAATGTTCGGCCATTTGAAAGCCTTCCAATCGGCACTTTTATCCACGGTCCGTTATGAGCCACCAGTGAAGAAGGAGGATGGAGGAGGTAGCTAAGCCACGCCCCCTTTTGGCCCAAACTCTAATTTTTTCAGATGATTTCTCAACGCTCCGCCTCTCCTCAATGGCTCCAGATGAGGATGGATCCGATGAGCTGAAAGCTCGAGAACGCGAGGAGAAGCTCGCCAGACTCAATGAGGATAAAATGATGCGGTTCCATATTCAGAAGAAGAAATTTGAGACGGTAGGTCACTTTTTCGCACTTTTTAAAGGCGAAAATCGAAAATTTTAGACTCCGCCCCTTTTTCGAAGTGTTTTCCTGAAAAATTTAAACTTTTGGCAGTTTTTCGCGTTTTTCCTGCTAGAAATTCATGATATTTTGTCAATTTTCCCAAATTTTTCGCATTTTTCACCCCAAAGCAGCTAAATTCAATACTTCTAGAACATTTCTGACAAATCCACGTATCCCGTGCAATCGCGCTCCATTGAGAATTACCGCTGAAATTTTAGCGCGAAATTTGAATTTTTCAATATTTTTCGCTGGAAAAGTGGATTTTTCGCTACAAAATGAGATTTTCTCCGAAAATCAGAAAAATCTGAATTCCAGGCATTCCGCAACGACTGCGAAACGTACGCCGTCGTCACTCGTGCTCTCCTCGCCAAGGACGAATCGCTGCAGTTCGGTCTGAAGACGTCGCTTCTGGAGAATATGGAGGACCTGTACAAAAAGATGCTCCAACGCGTCGACGATCATCTCGACGCTCTTCTGATGTCCTAAATATCGCCCCCACGTGGAAATATATATGATACTCTCCCGCCTTGTGATTTTATGTCCCAAAGAATTCTATATCTTACTTCTTCTCCTAGTTTTAAATGTCATCAAATTCCGTTTTCCCCATTTATTGCTTATTATTTGGGTCGGATCTCTTTATTTTTGGGAAAATTATCTTTTCGAAAAAGACAGTTTATATATAGAAAAGCGATTTTTTTGGGTGGTTGGTGGAAAAGTTAAAATACAAAGGGAAGGGGTGCGCGAATAGAGTATATCTCAGGGTATCACATGAGGATAGAGACTGAAAAAGAAGAGGAGAGAAACGAGAGAACAATACAATAAATTAGAGACAGAGACGTAGACAGCAAAAGCAGCATATCAGAAGCAATTAGAAATGGGGTATTGCTCATTCCTGGTCGTTCAGCGACAAGTGGGTGATGTTGGTGAAGTCGAATTCCTTGGTGGTGCCGCGTTGGAACATGTCGAGGACGTCCTGGAAGAGAAAACTCAATTTAAGCATTTCTAGACCAGCGTCTTACCTTGCAAGTGGTCTCAAAGTGAGTGGTAGCGTCGTAGGAGCGAGAGATGAAGATTTGGGAGTCGGCTCCGAGGTCGGTGGGCTCATATACGTCGGAAATCTGAATGAACTTCTCGGCGATTGGGCCGAGGAGTTGAAGGCCTGGAAGCACTTCGGCCTCTGGATTGGCGGTTTCCACAGTGGTGGAGACCATTGCCAAGTACCATCCCTTCGGGGTGACCATGTTGGTGTTCGAGCAGCATGAGATGTAGATGTCTGAAAATTTGCTATATTGATATCTCTAGCAATCGCGCTCAATCGATAATCACCACTTGAAATTTGAGCGCGAAATTTGAAATTTTCAACTTTTTTCGAATTTTATTGATTTTTTCGCTGGAAAAGTGGATTTTCAAGATTTCAAGCTAGAAATTCATGGTTTCTCGTTGATTTTACTGTAATTGTTGCTTTTTCACCCCAAGAAATAACGAAAATCGATGTTTCTAGAAGCGGCAAAACCGTGCCAGGGTTACAATTTAGGCTCCGCCCCCGGCTCGACTCCGCCCACTTTTCACCGGAGTTTTTTTCCCCGGAATTCCCGGGGTCTCAGAAATCCCCGTATCCCTTGCAATCGCGCTCCATTGATAATCACCGTTTGAATTTTGAGCGCGAAATTTGAATTTGTCAAAAATTTACGCATTTTTTCGCTGGAAAAGTGGATTTTTAGGTACAAGGCAGCTAGATCATGCGATAGCTAGATACTGATTTTTTTTTCTGATTTTTGAGGAAAAATTAATGCAAGCGCGCTCTATCAGACCCACTAGAAAACGAGCAATCTTGCAAACTAACCATAATGACGTCCAACTTGCTTCTGTGGAATGATAATCTGGCACGACTGAGCGTCGTTGGTATTCGGAATCGGATGATTCAACAGACAGATCGCGCGAACCACCTGTCCTGTCTTCTTAACCCGATCCTTGGCGTACGACGGATCGCAATAGATCTGCTTTCCGCGGACAATCTCCTCACCACACTTGACACCAATCGCCTTTCCATTCTCGATAACAATCTCATCCACAGGCTTATCAAGCATATAAGTTCCTCCATAGATGGCAGACAATCTTGCGAATCCCTGTGGAAGCTCTCCAAGTCCATAGAGTGGATACAAGTATGGACTCTTTCCATAGCGAGCCAGCGAGTCCGAATACAAGCGAATCTTCTCAACAGCCGGAGCGAATGGCTGATTCTTATGCTCATCATCCCTGTAGAGAGCCAAGGCGTGTCCAGTGAAGTCAGCGGTATTCTCATCCAGTCCAAACTTCTCGTACACCTGTTGCATTGTTTGGTTGTGTGGATCAAGTCCTTGCCACGTGGCCTCGTTGTTCTCATCGAATTGTTGAACCCAGACGAGGAACTTCTTGAAGCGACGCTTCTCGAACATTCCCATCAGAGAGGTGGCGAGAGCTTCCATCTCATCGGCTGGCACCTTGTAGATCTTTCCTCCCTTCACCACAAACGACGCTTCGATTGACTTGAACTCCAAGTAACGGGTAACACCGGTATGGATGAGCAACTTGACGAGTGGTCCGTTGGCCATCAAGAACTTTGGAATCAGGTCGACGTTCCAGTCACGACCGCGGCCCATCTCCGGTTGAGGCTTGGCCGATGGTCCGTGGAACTTCTCGTACAGTTGCTCCAACGGGGTCAACGACGCCGACTCGCCACCGTAGTAGTTGTTTCGGTCGATGTGCAGGACCTTCTTTCCCGAGACGGACAGCATTCCCGAGATGATGCACTCCTGGAAAATGAGGATTTAGTTAGCTAGCTAAAAGGGGCGGAGCCTAGCTCCAGGAGCTTTTCGCCACGTGGAATTTTTTCTTTTTTCTCAGCGATCACAGAAAAAAAGGCAGAGCCTATTTTAGCTAAACTAAGTGATAAGAAGCTCCCATTTTCTCAGTTTCTGTGCCAAATAGAGTCAGAAAGCGTCTCTGAAGCTTCTAGATACCGAAATTGGCTTCAGAGCCTCATAGATCGGCTTGCCACGTGGCATTTTCACAGATTTCACTCAGGAGATGTCTGAAGCTTCTAGAAAGCTATCAGTTGGCCTAATTGGCTTCTGAGCACCGTAAATCGACCCAAAACGCTCCAGGAGACTTACCACGTGGCATTTTTTTTTCGCCTTTTTTCAGATTTTCTACTGATTTTCTAGGTCAGACGGCTCTCAAAACTTCTTGACACATGGATTTTTCGTCTCTACCTCACCTTGAGTCCGGTTCCGAGAACGATGGCATCGTATTCCTCATCCATTTTTTCCGGGCTTTCGGGTTGTTTGAAGGGGGCGGAGTCTCTGAAAATTTGAGAATTCGAGAAAAATCGAGAGAGCGAAAAAACCGGAGACGCAGAGAAGCGAAAATAACAGAAATCGGGTGAAAAATGGGGAAAAAATCGATGAAATTGGGTGGAAAAATAAGGTGAAAATTGTGTTCAAAACGATGAAAACTCAAAAAAATTTGCGGAAATTTAGAAAAAAACAATCGGAAAAAAATGGCGAAAATATCCTACTTAAATTCGAGAAAATAGTGGAAAATTGAGTGAAAAATTCGAAAAATCGAAAGCAATTTAGAGAAAAATGGCTGAAAGATCCAGCTGAAATTGTGTTTTTAAAAAAACTAGGTGAAAAATCGACAAGAAATAAGAATCTGACGATATTTTCCAATTGAAGAGAGTTTAAAAAAAGAGACGCAGAGAAAAAATAGACGAAAATATTCAGCGGGTAGACGGAAGAACAACCCGGGCTTGAATGAAAAGTAGGTCAAAAACAGGAAAAATATTTTTTTTCAAATTTAAAAAAATCAAAAAAATACCAGTAATCACAGGAGAATAGGGCAATCTAGACTAATCAAAAAAGGCTCTGCCACGTGGCGAATCCTAATTAAAGGGTAATTTAAGCTAATTGAGAGCCAATTAAGCCTATTTCTTCACAGCCAACAGAGCGTAATTGCACTGTGTCGACTCGATCCACGTCCAGTGATTTCCGATGGGGTGGAACATGAGCCCATGGATCGCCGTCACTCGACAACCGGCGTCTTCGAGATGGGCGGTCAGTTCGGCAGGTGTGATGAACTTCTCCCAGTCATGCACTCCGGGAGGCACGATTTTTAGAATGTTCTGGAAATTGGAAAAATCGATAATATTGGATTTCTGCGATTTTCAGCCGATTTTCAGCAGAAAATTCGATATCTCAGCTCTTCAAAAATCGATAAAAATCGAAATTTGCACTAAAAATAGCTTTTAAATCCCTCTGAAACCGCATTTTTCAGCGATTTCCAGAATTAATTTTTGAAAATTCGACGAAATTAGCACAAACGCGCTCCAATCCGAACCGATTTTTTGGCGATTTTCAGCCAATTTCGACTAGAAACATGGGAATTTTCAAGTTCAAAAGCAGAAAACGCCGCACCTCAGCCAACCAAATCGCCGCCACTTTACTAGCCCATGTCCTATTTATCGTCGTGATGAAAATCGGCGCTCCGGGACGAGCTAGCTCGGCCAGCGACCCAATGAATCCCGGCAGGTCGGCGACGTGCTCGACGATTTCAGAAGCGACGACTCCATCGAATGCTGAAAGAGACATTTTGAGCCCGGGAATTCAAATTTTTGGGAATTTCAAAAAAACTTTTTCACGAATTTTGACCTAAAAATTGAAAAAAATGCTTTGGAAAATTGACAGAAAATTCGAATTTTGACCCAAATATCGAAAAAAAATTTTTTTTCGAAAAATCGAAAAAAAAATTTATTGCGAAATACAAAAAATTTGGGTCAAATTTTTGTGTTTCCGATTTGATCATGTGATTTTTGACACAACATTTTTGTGTATCGATTTCCAGACCTAAATAGTTTTGAAGGGTGAGAGAGAGAGAGAGAGAGAGAGAGAGAGAGAGAGAGAGAGAGGGGTGACGTGGAATTACGGAAATAGGGTCGTAAACAAAAATTCAGATCTAGAAAATTCAGAAAATTCTGGAGCATTTTGCCACGTGGATTGAGACCTAGGATACTGTAGCTGATAGAGTAGTGAATTCTAGGCCATTCAGATGGAAATCTAGGCCACCAGGAAAAAGTTAGGCCATTCAAGCCAAAAGTAGAGAATTCTAGGCCATGCACAGGTGGAAACCTAGGCCACTAAGAAAAAGCCAGAGGATGAGGAGCTAGGCCATCCAATTCAAATTCTAGGCCACCAGAAAATGAATCTACAGATTCCATAGGCTAGCTTTTGAGCTTGACCTAACTTTCCAAATTAAAGAATCCCAGGCCATCTAGTGCAGATTTCTAGGCCATGGGGCGTTCTAGATCCTCCAGGGCGGCGCTAGAAAAAATCCATGGCCTAGAAATCCAAACTTTTGGACTTTTAGGTCACCAACTTTAAATTGACCTAACTTGGCTGAAAACCACTATTTTTGAGTCTTAAATACAAAAAATAGCGATGGCCTGGAATCCTAAAATCCCTAATTTCTAGGCTACCTACACGTGTCATCATCCGGTTCACACAAAAATCGCTAGACACGTGGCAAACACAGACATGATGATGACAAACATCCCGACGAAATAGGGGGTCTAGAGATGCGTGTGAGCGGGGGTCCTAGTGTGGTGAGTGAAAATAGAGAGAAATTTTCCCGTTTTCTCTCTCTCTGCTGAGGCGGTCGGCGTGCGCGCGTCCAAAATGGACACACTGGGCGAGAGGGGAGAGAGTGTGTGGAGAGGAGAGAGTGCGAGAGATGCGCGGCGAACGGTAAGGAGAGACAGCGAGAGAAAGAGAGGGGGAGGGAGAGAGACGCAGAGTTTTGGAATGGGGGCTTCTCATGCACACATCGGATAGAGCAGGCCGAGAAAATCGATGAAAAGCCTGAAGGCGTGAGAGCGCCTAATGGAGAATCGAAGGAAGACGTTCTAGAAGTTTCTGGAAAATCGAAAATAACGAAAAATTCCGAGGGAAAACAGGAGAAGAGAAAAAGAAGATTAATTGAGATGTTTCCGTCTTGTCTCAAGGAGAATAGAGAACAGAGGACGTCTTCGTCTTCTTATGAATTCTGAAGAGGTAGAAGACGTCGGAGAGGAAGGGAAAGTGGGATCTCAAGAATTCATTTTCGAACAGCTTCTATGGGATTCTGGAGATTCTAGAAGGATCTCCAGAATCATTCCATATAGCACTTGGAAGTATTCAACAGGATTTTGGAGGTTCTAGAACTTTCCAAAGGACCTCAGGAAGAATTTCAAGACCTGGGGCGAATCCAGAAGAGAATTCTAACGCTCCAGAAGACTTAGAAATTTCTAGAAACTTCTAGAAGCCTCTTGAAGATCTTAGGAAGGCTAGAAACCTCCAGGAGGATCTTAAAGATTCTAGAAACTTCTGGACGATTCAGAAGAAACTCAGATAGCTGAGAAGGTTCCAGAAGCTTCGCTAGCCTTCCAGAAGCCTCTAGAAGACATTCGGAGAGCTTGCAACGTTTTGGAAGCATCCAGAAGGATCTAGAATATTCTAGAAGGTTCAAAACTGGCTAGACGAACCCAGAAGACGTTATGAGGCTTCAGAAGAAAATCAGATAGCTGGGAACGTTCTAGAAGCCTACTAGAAGGCATCAGATGACGTTCGGATGAGCTAGAAACCTTCTAGAAGAGATCCAGAGGATTCTAGGAAGTTCTTGACCCTTCCAGAAGCATCCAGAAGGACTCTGAAGATTTCAGAAGCGCCCAGACGACCCCAGAAGACGTTATGACGCTTCAAGGATCTAGAGGATTCTAGAAGCTTCCAGAACCTTCTCTTCTCCAACTAACTGCCCCCAAATTAACTCCTTTTATAGTCTGTCTTCCACTTCCTGATAGGTGAGAAAGGAGCATGAGGGTCTTTTTTTTTTTTTTCTCTTTACCTTTTTTTTTTTCCCCCATTTTATGCCTTTTTCCCTTTCCCCTTTCCCCCTTTTTTTCTTCTTTTAAACCCCCTTCTCCCCCCTTCCTTTCCCCTTTAAAAGAGGGACAAACACACAAAGAGAGAGAGAGAGAGAGAGAGAGAGAGAGAGAGAGAGAGAGAAATACCAGTTTTGGCTTTCATGGCCTAGCTGGTTTTTCTAGGCCACCTTAAAGCTTACTGTAGAAAGTAGACGAAATAGAGAGATTGATTTCTAGACCATCACACGGCTAGCATTGGTTTCCTAGGCCATGCGAAAAGCTAGGCCAGCAGGAAGAAATAGGTTTTCTAGGCCATCTGGAAAGCTAGGCCATGAGCTTCTAGACGAACCAAAATGAGGTTCTAGGTCACGTGAACAGCTATGCCAAGAAAAATAGGGGTTTTTGGCCACGTGGGAAGCTAGGCCAGCAGGAATAAAAAGGCCACCATTTTTGAATTTTATGACCTAGAGATCTTGGGGTTTTTAAAGCCATTGGGAAGCTTTCTAGCTTCTGGAGTTCTATGGCCTAGAAACCTCTAAAATCGTGGTTTTCTAGGCCACAGCAATTTCTAGGCAACTTTTGAAGAAATGGAAGAGAAAATCCGTGTGAAAAAAATCGGCCAGACCAACTTTCACACATTAGCAGCAGAACAAGAAATCCAAAATGGGTAGAAAAAGTTCTCTTTTCCGCCGACAAAAAAGGCTGAGCATACACACAAACACAACGCCTGTGTTGCTGTTGCTCGGCGAGCAGCCTTACCCCAAAAATCGATAGTTTACTGCTCCGTCCGTCGTCCTGCTCTCTTATTCTGAAAGAAGAGAAAAAATGGGGGCGGAGCTTTGAGAAGAAGAAGACGTCAACAACGGCAAAAATGGAAAACAGGGGGAGAGAGGCGAGAGAGTGTGTGAAATGGAGAGAGTGGCTAGAGAAGTGAAAGTCGCATAGCACAATTAACCAACTGAGCTCCTCGCGCTCTAAATGGGAAAAGAGACAAAATTTTGGAAAAAAAAATGGAAACAAGGCAGCTGGGAAAACATTGCGAAACTACAAAAAACGTGTCTGTTTGTCCGGATGTCCACCTAATTGATCTGATTAATGCGATGTGACACCTGACCCAAATTTGGCCCAAAAAAATACAAAAATCCCGGATTTCTCGGATATTTACCCGATTTATTTTCTGGCTTCTGACAGAAATTCTCGACGCTCATGTGCTCGAATCGAAGACGTTCGGTGATCCGGGAACGTTGAAGTGGCGCTGATTGGAGAGAGAGACGCGCGGCGTCGACCTGGAAAAGAAAACGTTGAAGGCCTAGAAGAAAACGTGGGAGAGGTTATTAGAGAGGTTCTGAAGGCTAGAAGACGTCAGAATTGGGTTCAGAAGACGTCAGGACTACCTAGAATGCCCAGAAGAGGTTGGAAGTCTAGAAGACGTTAGAAAGTTTCTAGAAGCGGTAGAAAAATTTCAGTACGTTCTGGAAGTCTAGAAGACGTCAGAAATCGTTTTTAGAGATTCCGTACGTTCTGAAGATGCTGGAGATCTATTAGGTTGGCGGGAAAGTCTTTGTCACTCTGTTTGTTTAATCACTGTTCTCGTATATGGAGGCTGTGTATGATATCGACTCTAGTGAATAACAAGGTGATAAGAACCTTCCATATAAACAAGTCCCCATCTCCTTCCCTGCTCCTCATCTGTAATTGAAACGATATGTTTGTTCCCACTGCTATTCACATCAGACATGTTTTGATTTACCTCTTCCTATCTCACACCACGATGAAGGATTCGGAAACTTTCTTGAAGAATGTGTACAACACACATGCCCCTCACTACAATACTATTCGCAATTGGTTCCATCGTTTCGAAAAAGATGACTTCTCGCTCGATGAAAAGGATCGCTCTGGGAGACCCCGTGAGTTGGATTTGGACAAGCTGAAGCACGCATTGCAATCGGATCCATTTCAATCTAGCCGTGAACTAGCTGTCACATTCGGAGTTCACCATAGCACAGTCCTTGAAGGTTTGAAGTCTCTTGGAATGAGAAAACTTTTTGGTCGATTCATACCTCATCACCTGACTCAAGCCAACCTTGACCGCCGAGTCGACGATTCGATTACTCTTCTCACTCTCCACGCGGGCGATCGATGGCTGGACCGGCTAATAACCGGAGATGAGAAGTGGGTCTTCTACGATAATCACCACAGGAAATCCCAGTGGGTTGGAGAAGGAGAGAGCCCACAGGATGTCCCCAAACCCGACCTTCATCCGAAAAAAGTTATGCTCTCTGTGTGGTGGGGAGTGGACGGCCCCATCTACTGGGAACTTCTGCCCGAGGGCAAAACAATAACTGGAGACCTCTACACTACTCAACTACGAAACCTCAAGAAAGCAGTCGACCGTTCGGCCCTGAAAGACAAGAAAGTGTACTATCAACATGATAACGCTCGCCCACATGTTTCGAAACAAGTGAAGCAGGAGCTGATGGGATATGGATGGAATGTTCTCCCTCACCCCCCGTATTCTCCTGATCTTGCTCCTTCCGACTATTGGTTATTTGGCGATATGACACGTGCCTTCGAAGGAAGAAGCTTCAATTCCCGTGGAGCGGTCGAAGCGGCACTCAAACAATACTTTGCCTCACGCCCGGCTGGATTCTACCGCAATGGAATCCATAAATTGAGGGAACGTTGGAGACATGTTGTTGATAATGATGGACAATATAATTAATTATTCGGTTATTTTTTCTTTGAGAAATAAACTATTGAAAAAGTGACAAAGACTTTCCCGCCAACCTAATAGAAGACGTCAGAGAAGGGTTCAGAAGACGTTAGGAATATTGAGAATCACTAGAAGACGTCAAAAATCCTTTTTACAGAAGTTCGGATGTTCTAGGAGACGTTGGAAGCATAAAATCTTCAGAAATCGTTCCTCGAACGATTCTGAAACTCTAGAAGACGTAGGAGAGGCCTAGAAGACATCAGAAGCGAGTTCAGAAGACGTCAGGGGTCCCTAAAATGCCTTGAAGACGTCGAAAAGCTCTTTAGACAGATTCTGAAGATCTAGAAGACGTCAGAAGTTGGTTTTAGAGAAGTTCTGGAGATATAGAAGACGTCGAGGGAACCTAGGAAGACGTGGAAGGATCCTGAGGACGTCGATCTCTAGGGGACGAATTTTGGATTTTACAGTCTAGAAGAAATCAGAAAGGGGGCTTTGGAAATTTCGAAAGATTCTGGATTTTCAGAAGACGGCAAGAGCGCCTAGAGTGCCTAGAAGACGTTAGAAAGGAGTTAACACGTTCTGAAGACGTCACAGAGCATCTAGGAGCCCCATTTTACGAATTCTGAAGTCCAGAAGACGTCAGAGTGGATTTTTTGGAAACTGGACAGATTCTGGAACTTCGAAGACGTCAGAATGAATTTTTAAAGAATTTGAAAGATTCAGAATTTTTAGAAGACGTCAACAGTCCCCAGAATGACTGGAAGACGTCAGAAAGTTTCAGAAGACGTTAGAAAGAATTCAGCATGTTCTGAAGACGTCACGAAGCATTTAGAAGACAGACATTTCGAATTCTGAAGTCTAGAAGACGTCACTATGAATTTTTCAAAAGATCGAAAGATTCTGAAATCTTGAAGACGTCAGAATGCAATTTTAAGAAAATCAAGCTTCTAGGTTTTCAGAAGACGCCAGAACCAATTTTTTTTGAAAAATCGAATGATTCTGAATTTTCAGAAGACGTTATAATAGCTCCAGCAGGTGCAAAAAGCCCTATGGAGTTAGATTTTTGGTCGCCAAAAAGAAAAAAAACGCTAGAAAAATTTTTAGATGACCTAGAAGACGTCAAGAAGGCTTCAAGTTGAAATGCGAAGATTCAGAAGACTAGGTGACGTCGGAAAGTTGGTTGAACGAATTTTCGACTTCCAGAAGGCGTCAGAAGGATTCTATAGAATATCCTAGGGCAAATTTTATTGTTTGGATAGCTTTTAAAGAGTCCCAACGACGTCAGAAAGGCAGATTCACTTGCTTCTGACCAATTTTAGCTATTCAGAAAACGTTTTCAAAGTTCTTACGACGTCAGAATCCTTACCGCCTGCTTCGTGGCATCGATTCCAGTGACATCAAAGCCACTTCTGGCCAGCGGAATCGACAATAGCCCACCACCGCTTCCAACATCGACCAGTCGTTTAGAAGTCTAAAAATTCGAATTTTACCCCTGAATCTGAGTCAAAATCGCTTACTGTATCTCCTTTTTTCACATTATCCACAATCCATGGCACCCGAATTCGATTCAGAGAGTGTAGAGCGTGAAAAGAGCCCAACTCATCTGCCCATTCGCCTGATAAGTCTCCAAATTTCGCTACTTCTTTAGCATCAATAGATGACGTGGCAATGGTGGAGTGGAGGCGAGAAGATAGCTTCTGGAGGGTTCGAAGGGGTTGCATGACCTAGAAAAGCCTGGGAATTCGGTTAAAAAAGAAAAATTGATGAAAAATTAAAAAGTCAATGAGGTGGCAAGGTACCAAAAACGACAATCAAAAACTCTAAAATTCGTTGGAATTCGCTGAATTATTCATTCCTCAAGGGTTGTCTAGCTCGATGATAAAAACACAAAAAATTTACAATTACAATTTTAAAAAAAAAGAGGAAAAAGAGAAGAAATCTATTCTTTTCCGTTGAGGAATTTGGAGAGGAAGTCCTTGGGTTTCGCCTCGACGTTCTCGGCGAACAGGTAGTTGCGGACGTGGTCTGGGTTGTAGTACGCCATGCGGATCGATTCCATGTGCTGAAAATCAGATTTTAGAGGATTTAAGGCCTGAATTAGAGGCGAAAGAGCCTAAAATTGAGGAAAAGGGGCCTAAAATTGAGGGAATGGGGCCTGAAATTGAGGCAAAACCTACCATATTAGTCTCCCCGACAAGTCTATCAACGACACGAACGTCGGTGAGATGCCCGTTCTTGGTGAATTGCTTCTTGATGACAGCGCGGAAGACACCGAGTGGCATGTCGTGAAGACCAAAGTCCCACCAGAATTTTGGGGTCAGGCGTTGGCTGCAATCCAAAAAACTTAGAAAAATCATAAATTTTCATCGCTCACAATTCTTTGTACGCCTGAAGCACGGACATACGAGCCTCGGCGGCATTGTTAGACTTGAGAGGGGCGACGGTACGAACGGCGGCAGAACCGGCACGGACGACTCTACCAGCGGTTGCAGACATTTTTAGGACAAAGTATCTCCTTTAGTGACTCTGGCTTCTAGAAATTCAACCTTTCGCTCCAAAAGGTTGATTTTATCGTTGAGAGTGGCTAGTTTGCTGCGGCAGGAGAGCTCTGAAAAGAACGGTTAATTTTTAGAGAAAAGGCAAAAAATACGAACCAAAGGTGGACAAGAAGTTAGCGATGCTCTTGATGTTATCGGCAAGAACCTGGAAATTAGTCATTGTTAGTAAGGAAACGAAAAACAGGCAAAACCATTTTTTTTTTCAAATTCTTCAAAAAATCAATTTTTCGACCCATTTACCACTGATTTTTCCTAAATTTTTGACATTTCCTACCTGCTCAAACTCGCGATTATCCCAGTCGTCCTTTAGTTGTCGTTGAACGGCTTCCGAAGCGTTCATTCAACGTCTGAAAACGCTGAAATGTGTGGAAAAGGCGGCTGACTCAACGCGCTCCGTAAATCGACACAACGATTTCGCGGCGAGACCCGCGCGCGAAATTGTGTGCGCCTTTAAAGTCGGCGATCGACTGGCTCTTTGTCACTTGTCAACAATGGACCCAACACCAATTTCGCAATTTTCTATTGATTTTTTTGGTTTTTTCTATTTCAATAAATTGAAAAATGTGTTTTTTGAGCTATAAATCGCTTTGAAAAGTGTGAAAAATCGCTAAAAATGGTGAAAATTGGCTAGTTGATTTTTCACTTTTTCACTAAAAATTCTGATTTTTCCTTCTCAAATCGCTCGAAATCTAAGCAATTTATTTTGAAATTCAATTCAAAATCGTCGTAATAACATGATATTTGGTCCAAAATGACAGGAAAAGTGCTTCCAGTCGAAAATTCGTGATTTTGCTTAAAAATGTTCAAATTTTCCGATTTTCGGTATAAAATGACTGGAATTTCATGAAAATTCATAAATTTTAGTTAAAAATGATCTAAAAATCTCATTTTTCGATTGAAAATAGTATAAAAATCATATTTTCCGATCCAAAATGACTGAAAACTGAAGATTTTTTCAAGTAAAAATTTCGAAATCACAAACAGCAACAAAATTATGACTCATAGAATTTCATGAAATCAACAAAAACCATGCATTTTTTTTGGTGTTTTTCGCCGACTGTTATTGACTTGTTTTCCATTTTCTGATCATCTGATAAGAGAACATGTGTTTATATATTTTCTGGAAGCGCTTTTTCAGTTTCCTTCCTTCCTTTCCTATTCCCCAAAAATCGAAAATTAATAGCCCTCTCTTTTCGGGAGGGGATAAAAGGAAATGGAGTGCTCTCTGGCACCCTCCACACTCTGTACACTCTCTCGCCTCCCCTACTCACCCGTTTAGATCCGTTTTTTCCTTATTTTCTCCTTCCAAATTATTTCCATTTTTCAGGTACCCCCTCACTAACCCCCAATTGCAAAAATGATGGCCATGGTGAATAAGGTGTTGGACTGGATTCGGAGTCTGTTCTGGAAGGAGGAGATGGAGCTGACGCTTGTAGGACTTCAGAATTCCGGAAAGACCACTTTTGTCAACGTGATTGCGGTGAGTTTTTGAGTTTTGAAGCGATTTTGTGGAGCGATTTCTGACCTCGTTATGGCCTAGAAAACTCAATGTTTGAATGATCTAGGCCATTTCTAACTGTTATACTTCGTTGTGGCCCAAAAACTTCAATTTTTGAATAATGTAAGCCATCCCTAGCCACTTTAAGTCTTGGTGACCTAGAAACCTCGAATTTTGAGAATCCTAGGCCATATTTAACCACTTTAAACTCTGGTGGCCTAGAAACCTAAATTTTGAAAAATCTAGGCCATCTTCAGCCACGCTGATTGTTAGTGCTCTAGAAACCACACATTTCGAAAAAGCTAGGCTACCTCTAGCCGTTCCAGGTTTCTCAAAATTCGTGGTGGCCTAGAAACTCCAAATTTGAGAAACCGAGGCCATATCTCGCAACTCGAAATTCGTGGTGGCCTAGAAACTCAAAATTACGCAGATCTAGGCCATTTCTGACTACACTAATTCTTGTTGGCCTAGAAATCACACATTTCGAAAAACCTTGGCCATATCTAGCCACTCTGAGTTGTGGTGGCCTGGGAACTTGAATTTCTAGAACTTCTAGAAATTCTAAACTAGAAGCCTAGGCCATATCTAAATTCTTGATGGCCTAGAAACCCCGCTTTTGAGAATCCTAGGCCATTTTTGATCACATTTCTCTGTGGCCTAGAAAACCTAAATTTCACAAATCTAGGCCATCTCTAGCCTTGGCCGATTCTTGGCGGCCTAGAAACCCACGTTTTGAGAAATCTAGGCCATGCGAAAAGCGAGATTTTCAAGAGTATAGCCTAGAATAGAAGTTCGACCACCTATATTCAAAAAAAACTATAATTTTTTCAGAGCGGCCAATTCACCGAAGACATGATCCCAACAGTGGGATTCAACATGCGAAAAATCACAAAAGGCAACGTCACAATCAAACTCTGGGACATTGGAGGCCAACCGCGATTCCGTTCGATGTGGGAGCGCTACTGCCGCGGTGTCAACGCCATCGTCTTCATGGTCGACGCTGCCGATGAGGAGAAGTTGGAAGCGTCGAGAAATGAGTTGATGCAGCTGTTGGACAAGCCACAGCTCGACGCCATTCCGGTTTTGGTACTTGGAAACAAGAAGGATTTGCCTGGAGCATTGGATGAGCGGCAGTTGATTGAGAGAATGAATCTGTCGTCGATTCAGAATCGCGAGATTTGCTGCTATTCGATTTCTTGCAAAGAAAAGGAGAATATTGGTGAGTTGGAAGAAAAAAATACTCGAATTTTAAGATGATGGCCTAGAAATCCAAATCTAGAAAAAAAACTAGGCCATCGTGTACATGATTTTAAAGAGCAGGAATCGATAGTTCCAAATCGGTTTTTGGATTTCGAAAATGTTGGTTTCAAAGCTATCTATGAGCATTTCAAACTTGTGGCCTATTTTTGGGTTCCTAGGCCACCCATCTTTGGTACAAATTTGAATTGATCATAACTCGCTCCAAAATCAATATTTTGGAAATCTGAAAATTGATTCGGAACTGTCACGTCCTGTTCTTTAAAACCATGCAGGCGATGACCTAGTTTTTTTCTTGGATTTGGATTTCTAGGCCATCATCCTGAAATGTTCATAAATGGCGCCAAATTTAAATTTCGATTCCAGACATCACCCTCCAATGGCTCATCGACCACTCAAAGGCGCAACGTTAAAGACGACACCTCTAACACCCATTTTGCAACAACTACTCAATCAATCAACCAAAAAAATCGATAAATTCTAATCAAAAGAAACCCCTTACTGATTACTGTAGATATATATTTATTTTCTCCCACTTTCCTCAATTTTTGCTCTTTTCTCACTCTAATCGCTTCCCGAAATCAAAAAAAAAAGTAGTCATTCACTTGGTAGCTGTCTCTCTTTCTCTCTCACCCTTCTTTCTCATTGGGAAATTGTCTGAAATTCACTGAAAATGGCTTGAAATTTGCGGAAAATGGCCAAAAATTGATTAAAAATAGTCAAAAAATGACCAAAATTAGACCATTGTTGGTCCTTTTGCACCATTTTTAGTGAATTTCAAGGCATTTTTAGTGCATTTTGGACTATTTCTCATTGAAATTTTTTAAAAGTTATGAAATCCAAAAGTTTTGCCCCCCTACTATGTACATGTTGTGTATTTCTATATTTTCGGCAACTCCTTTTTGATTCCTAATTTATACAAATTTAACCCACTTAAATACAAAATTCTATATTTGTATAATTTTCCAATCCACGTAAATTTGATTCTCTAAAATTCGGATTTTTTTATCAATTTTGCCCATTATTCATCAGAGATTCCCCTCTTTTTGGCGCCCAAATAGAGCAAGAAGAGCACCTAAAAATGGAATGTGTCAATTGCGATTGTACGGTGAAGACGATGAACAATTTGGATTGTGCGATTCGCGGGCTGTTGCAACGTGGCAAGCACGTCAATCAGATGATGAAGGAGGAGAAGTTGATTAGAGATGAGCGGAAAATGGAGGCGTTGAAAGAGTTGAAGGTGGAGGGAGATATGAAATTGCTCAGCATAAAATTTGGCATATTTTGGTAGTTGACAACTTCTCGATAGCTTTTGCGGTTTTTGAGATATGCGCCTTTAAATTTTGAGGAGACGCTCTGGCTACCTGCGTCTCCTCAAAGGCGCATATCTCGCAAACTACGGTAGCAGCCAAAAAGTTGTCACTTACAAAAGTTTAGGAAATTTTATGCTGAGCAATTTTGCCGTTGACCAATTTTTGATAGCTACCGTACTTTTTGAGATATGGACCGAATTTTGAAAGAAAAATTAAGTTTTGAGAAACTTTTTTTCAAATTCTCAGATAAACTATTTTTATACCAAAATACAGGAAATTTTATGCTGAACAATTTTGCAATTGAGAATTTTTTGATAGCTACCGTACTTTTTGGAGAAAAGACGAGCTAACTTTAAAGACGCATATCTCCGAAACTACGGTAGCTATCGAAAAGTTGTCAACTACAAAATTGCTCAGCATAAAATGTTACATATCTTTGTAGTTGAACACTTCTTGCTAGCTTTTTTGGTTTTTAAGATATGCGCCTTTAAACTTTTTCAATTTCTCAAAAAAAAAAATTGAATCGGAAATTTCCCAGAAACAACTCCCAACAACCAAAAAAGTGATCCAGTGCTCCGAAGCAACAATGGATCGTACCGTAACCAACTCGACGAAGCCACGTCGCATTTTTAATAAAATCACTGGAAAAGCCGAATCCATTGACTTCGATTGTCCATCGTTGACGACTGAACAATCGGTTATTGATTTTTTTTTCGAAATTTCAATTTTTTGGGTTTTTAGGAAACTACAGTATGCTCGTCGGGACCATACACCAGTGCCTCGTTGTCTATTCCGAAGAAGACGTCGTCTGTGGTCTCAACCACCACCATGACCACTGAAGTCGTTGCTACTTCTTCGGTAAGTGCGCTCTAACGCGAAAAGTAGAGAAGCTAGAAAAGAATTGTCAATTGATAAATTGTAGAGTATAACAAATACTACATTTTTGTAGTTGACAACTTTTTAATAGCTACAGTAGTTTTTGAGATATGCGCCTTTGAAGTTTGCGCGCCTGTTCTTTAGACGCTAGAAGAGAGCGCCTACTTTAAAGGCGCATACCTCAAAAACTACGGTAGTTATCAAAAAACTGTCAACTACAAAAATGTAGAGCGTAACATTTCCTACATTTATGTATAAAATTCGTTGCTTTCGCGTTTTTGGTACTTGAGATATAAAAGTTCGAACTTGTAAAAAAATTAGAAGAACATTTTTTTTACCTATTTTCAAAAATTGGTTGATACTTCAAAAACCAAAATGATAGCTGAAATTGACTTTTTTCAAATTGCTCAGCATAAAATTTGACACATTTTTGTAGTTTACAACTTTTTGATAGTTAACGCAGTTTTTGAGATATGTGCCTTTAAAGTGACACTCGCCGGATGTCGGCGCTCTTTAAACTTTAAAGGCGCATATGTCAAGAACCAAAAGAGCTATCAAAAAATTGTCAACTACAAAAATGTAGAGCGTAAAATTTCACATCTTATACTTATATTTTGTAGACTTTCGTAAAATCGAAAAATGGAGGTTCTGGAGGCGGAGCAATGGTCCTGGACCACTCTTATTGGGTGGATAACGATGGAAATTTGGAGTCGCTGCCAATGAAGGTGGGTCCAATAGAGCACATTTCTTGACTTTGAAAACTTTTTCCAGATCTACATCAAGCAGAATCCGGTGGACATGTCGTTGGATATGCATTTGGTCTTTTTTGATGACCAAAATCAAAAAGTGATGGACATTTCGATGAATTCCTCCCAGAATAAGAAGATTTCGAACGTTCAGTTTTGCGGAAAAGATGCGAAAATTGTTGCATAAAACTGTTCAATTAAAAATTATTATTGATTTATTGATTTTTCTCGACCCAATTCAAGTAGGAACCATTGAACTCCTGGGCGTGGAAAAAACGGTCAAAATTTGTAAACGAGATGAGGAAACTTTTGGGACTCTGGACCATTGATCATTTAGAGATTGAAAATAGACGTCTTTTTCGTCTTTTCGAAGATCTGGAAGCACCATTAGGATTCGCTTTTTCTTCTTCTCTGATATCATCATTAGGAGCCAAAGGGTTGAGGAGATGAGGGTGTAGAGGGGGAAGATCTGGAAAAAGAGAATTATCTTGGGAAATTGAGATACTAGATAAAAATTATAAAGTATCAAAATGTAGAGCTTGAAATTTTACACATTTTGTTAGTGAATAAATTTTTGATAGCTATCTTGGTTTTCGAGATATGCGCCTTAAAAGTTGGCGCGCCCCTAGGCGTTTGAAAAAGGGAACGCCAAGTTTAAAGGCGCATAGCTCAATAACAACTGTAGCTATCAAAAAGTTGCAAACTACAAAAATATAGAGCATAACATTTTACACATTTTGATAGCTGTTTTGGTTCTTGAGATATGCGCCTTCAAAGATTGAAGACGCGGACAGCCGGTGTGTCTCGCTTCTCTGGGTCTCTTCCTTTAAAGACGCATATCTCGCAAACTAACGTAGCTATCAAAAAGTTGTCAACTACAAAAATGTGTATAATTTTATGCAGAGCAAGTTTTTAGCACACCAATTTTTGCTAGCTTTTTTGGTTTTTGAGATATCACACAATTTTTGAAATCAGTTTTTTTTTCAAAAACTCACATTCTGCACCATCTCATGAAACTGCTTTTTCTCCGGATCGATGTCATCAGATACTGGTAGAAATTGTGGACAAATTGAATACCATAAAAATGACAAACAAGTGATAAGAGATAAGGGGAGTATCAGTTGAAGAATTCGAAGATTCTGATTGATTTGGAACTCGATTGCCAGCGAGTACGTTTTCCTGGAATAACTTGAGAACTTGCGAAGATACAAGAAATTGTTAATCAGGAAATTGCTCAGCATAATATTTCTCGCATTTTTGTAGTTTACAACTTTTTGATGGCTACTGTAGTTTTTGAGATATGCTCCTTTAACGTTTTGGGGGAGGCGCATGCAGCCTGCAAACTTTAAAGACGCATATCTCCAGAACTACGGTAGCTATCAAAAAGTTGTCAACTACGAAAATATGTAAAATTTTATGTTGAGCAATTTTGCAGTTGGTCAATATTTGCTAGCTCGTTTGGTGTTTGAGATATAGGCCACAAAACTCACTTCTTCAACTTGCACCTATTGAAAACCCACAAGACTACCGTATACCCAAGGGATACTGTAGCCAGACCTGCCAACCAAACCATCAACTCCATCGGGACCAGAACTTGATTCTGATCGTAAATACAATGAGTGCAAACTCGATTTTTCGAAAAATCCGGGTAATGATATGCCAGTGAAATTGTTAGGGAAATTAGGATCTGGAAAATTGAAAATTTTGGATTTTCTTGAAAAAAAACTTACAATACTCCACGAGAAGAATTTTCCAATTGTGCCCTGTCGATTTTCATAGCCTCTTCCAAGATGTTGAGTGGCGATAGTGCGCTCCAATGGAATCGCAAAGAGGAGTAGGGAAAACACTGCAATTTATAGGCGCATATCTCAATAACCAAAAAAGCTAGCAAAATTTGGTCAACTGCAAAGTTGCTCAGCATAACATTTTACACATTTTTGTAGTTGACAACTTTTTGATAGCTAAGCTGGTTTTTGAGATATGCGCCTTTAAAGTTTGGAGGGGACGCAGAAAGCCAGAGCCACCCACTTCTCTGCGCCTCTTCGAACGTTAAAGGCGCATAACCAGAAAAGCTAGAAAAAATTGACCAACTGCAAAATTGCTCAGCATAAAATGACGCGTATTTTTGTGGTTAATAACTTTTTGAAAAGTTACAGTAGTTGTTGAAATGTGGTAGCTAAAACTCACTAATAGTTGTAGTTGTCGCAATTACCCGAAATCCAAAACATAATCTACACGGAATCAAAAGTTCGCAGCTCTCGTAGCTCATAGAAGTCAAAACATGATACAGCTGAAATTTTTATTTTTAAAAATTTGACAATTTGAATTCCAACCCACCTGAGCAGTCCCAATAGCAAAAGCATACATCAAAAGTGCCGCATGATACGCTTTCAGCAAACTTTTGACATTCGGATGAAAATATGAATGATGCTGAGCAACCCGGCCACTTATCACTAATCCAACTGATAGGAAAGCCAAGAATAGCTGAAAAATGGGATAGTCCGGTAGAGCGCATTTTCTTCACTAACCTGTAAAACTTGCGTGAGGATGATTGGCGAGTATCTTTGGACATATTCAATGGTGTCACAATTGATTCCGGATACTATCGTTGGGATTGATGACGTGGAGTTTTGAGGGGAAGAGGATACTGTGGATAGATGAGATGGAGTTGTGGTTGGCATCTGAAAACGTCGATTGTGTAGCTGTAAAGGATCATAGCTAGAGGTTGAAAGAAAAAAAAGTAGAGGGACTTTAAAGGCGCATATCTCAAAAACTACAATATCTATCAAAACGTTGTCAACTACACAAACATGTGAAATTTTATACTGAGCAATTTTGTATTTGGTCAATTTTTTCTAGCTTTTTTGGTTTTTGGGATATGGAACAATTTTAAAATAATTTGAAATTTGTTTTCAAACTTTCATATCTCAAGTGCTAAAAACGCTAGATCAACAATTTTCATGCCGAAATGTAGTAAATTTTAAGGTTTTTTTTGTATTGTTCTGTACAATTCTTTTATACCAGTTATGGTTGTTGAGACAGAGACGCAGACAGCTAGCGTTGTCACGCTTCTCTGCGCTCCACACACTCACTTTAAAGGCGCATATCTCGACAATCACGGTAGCTATCAAAAAGTTGCTAACTACAAAAATGTGTAAAATTTTAAGCTGAGCAATTTAGCAAATGAGTAATTTTTGTTAGCTTTTTTGGTTTTTGAGATAGGCGTCTTTAAAGTTTTCAAGAGACGCAGAAAAGTGGGTGGCTCTGGCTGTCTGGGACTCCTACAAATTTTAAAGGCGCATTTCTCAAAAACTACGGTAGCTATGAAAATGTTGTTAACTACAAAAAATGTAAATTTTTATTCTGAGCAATTTTGCTGTTAGCCAATTTTTTCTAGCTTTTTTTGTTTTTGAGATATGCGCCTTTAAAATTTAAAATAATTTTTTTGAAGTATCATAAATTGACCTAGATGAGAAAACAAAAATAATGGAAAGGAAATTCCAGGAAAAAAAGGGAAGGAAAAATATAATAATTGGGTAGGTTTCCGTTCTCATTTCCTACAATAACAAGGCAATTATTATTTTTTCTTCTTTTGTTTCAGGAAAAACAATTTTGGAGTAGTTTGGAGTCAAAAAATGAGCTTAAATGGCCAAAATTCCCCAAAAAAAAGTCTCCCCATAAATTTTCAGACATGCAAATTATAGAATTTATTTCGAGAGCTGAAGAAATTTATGTCTGGAGAATTTTTTAGTTTTGTGAGAGTTCTTGAAAATTGTTAGGGATAATATGTCTATGTCGGGAGAAAAATGAATGGAAATATGTCATTTTCAGATTTTTCAGAATCTAAAACATTCTGAAATGTCATAGTTTTACAGAACAATTTTGAGAACATTTTGTCTTTCAAATTTCTTACAGTGTCAAAATTGCTAAAAGTCTCAAAATTATATAATTACAATAATGTCAAAGGTTCCAACATTCCAAAAATTTCAGAAAATTCAGAAAAATTCGATAACTCCAAGAAATTATAATATTTCCAGAAATACCTGAATCTCTGAAATTTCCAAAGTTACCCAAACTTCAATACCGTAAAACCTGTAATAGATGGGCCCTCTAAGTTTTAACATTGAGCCAATTTTTCTCACTTCTTTTGAAAGATATCAAAAAACTGTCAACTGATAAATTATTTATCATAATATCAGCAACATTTTATCAGTTGACACATTTTTGATATATCTCAAAGGAGTCCAAATAATTGAGCTCAAACTTGAGATTATGTGGGGGCTAAAAAAAATCATGAAAATCCAAAATTTCCTAAAAAATTGTGAAAAAAAAACAATGTTCCAAAATATCTCAGAAGTTCCTTATCCGGAAATTCCAAATATTTTATAGATTCCAAATTTCCCAGATATCCAGTAATTCCAAAGAATTATAGAAAGTTACAAAATTCCAAGATTCCAGAAATACCATAAACACTCTAATAGAATGCCACCCCAATCGTCAAATTTGAGCCCATGTATCTCATTTTCAGTGAGAGATATCAAAAAGTGGTTAACTAATAAAATGTTGCTGATATCATGATGAACATTTTGTTAGTTGACAGCTGTTTGATATCTTTCAAAAGAAGTGAGATATATAGGCTCAAAGTGGACGGTGGCGTTCTTTTAGAGTGTTTACGGTAGTTGAGACCTATTATAAAGTACATGAACATAAAACGAGAGAGATTCAAAGAAGTTTTATCTCATTTTTGCAAAATTGGGTATTTCAAAAAAAAAGAGAAAAAATGATGAAAAGGAAGTGCGCAGATGGGGCACAAAAAATATTATTGTCTTTTTTTTCAATTTGAAAAAAAAGAAAAAAATTGAAAAAAGAAGAAGGAGATGAAGAGAAAAAATGATTCAATTAGTGGATCTTTATAGATATTGAAAATCGTATTCCAGTTTTTTTTTCCAATTTTTTGGAATTTTTCAAAATCTTACTGTCAGGGAAAATGGAATTTTCAGAGTTCTTTAACAATCTCAAAAAATTGAAATTTTCAAAAATTTAGGTTCAGAAAATTCGGAAATTTATAAAAACCCAAAAAACTCGAAGATCTCTGAAATTTCAGCTTTTATCAAAATTCCAAGAATCGGCTATTTTTTGAATACCTCTCTAATTTTTATGATTTTCCATTTTTTAGGGATCAAAAATCGAAAAAAAATGTGCTGAAAAATATAAGAATTTATAGTATAAATCACATAAAAATCGTCTGAAAATGTAGTATATTTTGCTCTATGAGTCAAAAAAAAATTATTATTTTTCAAATCAAATCAAGAAAAAATGTCATAAGGAAACTAAAAATTTTGATCTGACTAGTACGAGTTAGATCTAGAAGTTTGTTGTTTAAAAGGAAAAAAAGGAAGGGAAGGAAGGCTATAATTTTCTAGAAAGGGGAAGAGAAAAATGTTGTTTTCCTCAGCTATTTGAATGAAAAGGATATTTGTAAATTCTGAATTTTTGATTTTCAAGTCTTCTTTCCCTGTTTTTTCAGGTTTTTTTCTTTTTTCATTGAAAAATCCTGTTTTTCTTTGAAAAATAATCAAATAAATGGGTTACTGTAGAAAACTTAAAGGCGCATGCACCCAAAACTTCTTTTCGTGGCGGGACTCACCGGTGACGTGACGATGCCCATCTATTTTTAAAATCCTTTTTCAGCCTATCTAGGCCTAAAAACGAGATTTTATTTTGATTTTTCAGATAAAAAAAGCCGAAATATCCAATTTTTTAAACCAAAAAATCGAAAATTTCAAGAATTTAGGCCTGAAAACAAGATTTTTTTGAGCTAAAAAGCGAAATTTCTAGAAAATGAGCCAATTTCAATCATATTATTATCCTCTTCTCAAAGAAATGAGTCATTTCCATGTCCTCAGGCGTTATTCGCTTTTTTATTTTTTTTTGTCGAAAAATAATTCGTTTTTCGATGAAAATGCGGTAAACATATGATGAAGCTGTCTGAAGGAGAAGAAGAAGTTTGACGTCTTCTGAAAAAGAAGTATAGTGAATAGGGAAGGAAATTAGGCGGAGCATCCTTCTGCACACAAATTGTTGTCCAGCTTCGTTGTTCTAATTGAGATTTTCCGGTGGTTGGGCGCAGCATATTTAATGAGAAGATAATTTTCTGGAAAAAAAGGAAAGGCTATTTTACAGAGATCATTAGTTTTGTATAATTTATGATTTTTTCTGAAAGGGAGACAAAATAAATAATTTAAAACAGGGCTGACAATCTAGTATCAAAGAGGAAGTTGCTTACAGAGAAGAATTCTCTAGTTAGGAGAAGGGACACCCGAACGTTCGATGAGTATTTCGTTTCTCACACTGAACCAATTAAAAAATGAAACAAAAGGGAAAAAACAAAGAAAATAAATATAAACATGAATGGTGTGTGAGAAATTTAGAAGAACATGGCGGCGACTCCTCCCATCTCCTGTTGCTCCTTGACGAAGATCTCAAAGTATTGGTAGATGATGGTGACGGCGAGAAGGATTCCGGTTCCCGATCCGATAGCTCCCATGAAGTCAGCAGTCACAGAGAGAGCTCCAATGCAGAGTCCTCCGAAGGCGGCGGCAGTTGGGATGTATCTGTTGAGCTCGTGGATCATCGACTTCTCACGGTGACCGCGCATGACCATCTGTTGCTCCTTGAGTTGCTTGGCGACGTCCTTAGCGGAAGATCCGGACACATCGATCCAGGTCTTGGAGAAGAAGGCGCAGGATCCGAGCATGAAGACGATGTAGACGATGCAGTGGAGTGGGTCCTCGAAGATGTGTCCAAGGGACTCTGGTGGGGAAAGGTAGTAGCAGAGACCTCCGATTGGGACGCTTCTGTATCCAGAGTTGTCGGACCAGGTACCGAGAAGGTTGATGAAGAAGTTTCCTCCGAACTTTCCGGCGAGCATCTGAAACAATGAAATTGATATCAAAATTCTAATGCAAAAGGAAAGTGTCCTTGGCAAGTAAAGTAGGTCACCAAGATTAGTATCTCTCTGTACTACAGCGCAATGGAAATAGAAATACTAACCTGAGAGATAACGTAGAGGTTAGAGACGAGAGCAGATTGGAGAATGATTGGGATGTTAGAGGTGTAGAAGAGCTTGATTGGGTAGCTGCTGTATTGTCCACGGTAGCGGGCAGACTTGATTGGAAGGTCGACACGGAATCCTTGGAAGTAGATCACCACAGCGAAAACGAGGAAAGTGGCCATCAAGTTCATCAAGTTTGGAAGGTTCTGGCGGTAGAAAGCCTCACGAAGAGCGCGGACCTTATCAGAGCGAGTGGCGAGAAGGTGGAAGAGAGCAATGACGGCTCCCTCGAACTCGGTTCCACGTCCAGTGTTCATTGTGGCCGGGGAGAACGCCTTCCAGACGATGGTTTCGCAAATGTTAGTGGCAATGAAGAGCGAGATTCCGGATCCGAGACCGTAGCCTTTCTGGAGAAGCTCGTCGAGCAAGAGGACGATGAGACCGGCGATCACGAGTTGGACGACGATGAGAAGGCAGATTCCGGCTCCGATCTCCGATGGCTCTCCGTAGAGTCCGGACATGACGTAGACAATGGCTTGTCCGACAGTAATCACCATTCCGAACACTGAAAGATTGAATTGAAGGGTCAGAAGGCTAGCTGGATATTCAACTACTCACACTTTTGGGCTCCGTTGAAAAGAGCACGATCCTTTGGTGTGTCTCCGACTTCGATGATCTTGGCTCCGGCGAGAAGTTGCATGATGAGTCCAGAAGTGACGATTGGAGAGATACCGAGCTCCATGAGGGTTCCACGGTTAGATGCCATAATGACACGAAGCCAGTAGAATGGATCGGCAGAGTCGGTGGACATGATTCCGAAGAGCGGGATTTGACAGCAGACGAGGAAGACGAAGAGGGTGATGGCGGTCCAGAGCATCTTCTCGCGGAACTGAATCTTACGCTCCGGCTTCGACACCTCCGGCACGAAGCCGCAGAACGGCTTCACGAATTCCAGAAATTTGACTGAAAAGAATGGCGAATAAATGGGCTGATTCCGAAACTCGTACTACAAAAATCGATATTTGGGGTTTTGCAAGCTTAATTTGAAGAATCTAGCCGCCACACTGCAAAAAATTTGCCGATAATGTCATTTTTGAGATAAATTTCGTTAATTTCTGGAGTCCAATTAAGCACCGATTTGACTTCACAGAGCTTGTAAAAAGATGAAATTTAGACAAACTGTAAAATTCGAAAAAAAAATCACAAATATTTTTCTTTCCAACATTTTCTAAACTCCAAACCAAAACCAGTAACAAATTTACTTACTTCCCATGGTGCAGGTTGTTCCTTCTGCTTCCCAGCACTACCAGCAGCACGAAAAGTTCAGAATAAAGGAAACTTGGGTAGTGTTTCGAATAATATAAATGGTGTGGACGATAGACGGGAGAGAGACAGTCGAGCGAAAACCTGCAGTCGAGGCAATGCACACGCAGCCTTTGATGATCTGGGGGTGCAAGAGGCAAGCGGTGGGTATACTGTAGAACTGCAAGGTCTCGCCGCGATTCGCGTTATTTCGGAGCGTCGTTGCGCGCTTTTTCCCCTTTTCGGAGGGCTTGAGGGGAGAAGCGGGGGATGAGAGGGGGAAACAGAGAAGAAAACAGGAAATTCCGGTGGCAAATAAGGATTGTTTGGCGAGAAAAAATTGTTTATTATCGATTTCATCAGATATTTATCAAAAAAAGGAAGAGAGATTTAAAAGGAATTCAACAGATTTGAGAATTCGAGATATTCTACTACGAAAGCGCCAACGAAAATACATTTTTTAAACTAAAAATCGTTATTTTTTCTGACAGTTTTTTTGGATTTTTTTCTGGAAAACTCTTTGAATTTAAACTGAAAAATTCAGTACATTTTACTGAAAAAAGTGTGAGAAAATCTATGTTATCAGCTGAAAAATTCATTTTTAAACTAAAAAGCGGTTTTTTTTTGGGACATTTGTATTTTTTCTGGAAAATTTTGGTTTTTTCTGAAAATATGGGATTTCAGGCGAGATTTCCGAGTTTTTGAACATTCCCACACTTGAAATCTCGGCTGAAAATCTTTATTTCAGACGGAAATTCTGAAATTTCTCCAGAGAAAAGACAGGCGGCTCCCAAAAATTACAGTAACCCCTTAAAGGCGCATAGAGTTTCCATGTCAGGTTTCGATACGAAATGGTGAAAAGCGCGGAGATTTGAAAAACAAGGAATGGATCAAATGCATTTTCAGTGATAAATGTGCACAGGAGTGCAAATTTCAGGTCGAAGAAGTCCATTTTTCATGATTTTCCCCAGTTTTGCAATACATTTGGAGACTTCGGAGCGTTTTTAGGACATAAATCTGAAATTTTCAGCCCAACATTCTCATTTCCTTCTCAAATTTCCCTCTCACTCTGACCTACACCGATTTTCGAAGCACGTTTGATTGACGGTTCTCCCTCTTCTGGCGATTTTTTTTTCGAAATTTGTTATCTCTGATAAATCGGTGGACTGAACGAATATCAAGTTTTCTAGTGAAACAGTGAAAAAAATTTTCAAAAATTTCATAATTGATGCTTTCTTGTTCATTTTTCCTGAATTTTCAGCGATTTTCAGAAGTGTCGGCACATTTTCTGAGTAGCGAAGCTCCCCGAACCGACTTCGTAAATCTACACACAGGAAACGAGTGTTACCGTACTCTCAACAACCTGCCTTTACTCAATTTAGGTCAGGATTTCAAGCATACTTTCATATTTCAGACTTTTTTCCAGCAATTTCAAATATTTTCTGCGAAATAACCACTTTATAATGCCATTGGAGACCCGAAAACCCTCTCAAAATGTCTCTCGACTCTCTCCCTATTTAAAGGCGCACGTATTTTCGCCGACGGGTCTCGCCACGCGCGCACCCTCCCCTCTCTCGCCGTCTTGCTGAATTTAGTTCTTTTCCCTAAATTTTTCGCGTTTTTTCGCTGTAATTTTTTTAGTTTTGCAAGTTTTTAGCCCAAAGTTTTTGAAAATAATTAGGAAATATGTCGAACTATTGTTTTTCGGCGGAAATCTCGAAGTTTTATTGTTGAAATTGGGTCAAATTCGAGAAAATTCGATATCAAATTTTTTAACGCTTCTTTTTGAGTTTTGTACGGCCGAAGTCTCTTGTTTCTGTTGGAATCTAGGTTTTTGTGATGCGTTGAATCCGTTTACCGTGTTTTGTGTGCAAAGTTTGTCGATTCTCGTAACCCGCTCAATTTATAATTTCCAGGTAAAAAAATCAGGACAAGATGTCGCTGATCATTCCGGAGAAGTTCCAACACATTCATCGTGTGATGAACACCAACATCGATGGTAACCGCAAGGTTCCATTCGCCCTCACCGCCATCAAGGTTCGTTTTATTTCTTTTCTAGCTCATTTAATAATTTTCACGTCTTCAGGGAGTTGGACGTCGTTTCGCCTTCGTATGCTGCCGCAAGGCCGACATTGATGTCAACAAGAGAGCCGGAGAACTCACTGAGGAGGACTTCGACAAGATCGTCACCATCATGCAAAACCCATCCCAATACAAGATTCCAAACTGGTTCCTCAACAGACAAAAGGACATCAAGGATGGAAAGACCGGACAAGTAAGTACACATCTCATTCCCAGCCTATATAGTTTTCACAATTCTCAATTTTCAGCTCCTCTCCACCGCCGTCGACAACAAGCTCCGTGAGGATCTTGAGCGCATGAAGAAGATCCGCCTTCACCGTGGACTCAGACACTACTGGGGACTCCGTGTCAGAGGACAGCACACCAAGACCACCGGACGCAAGGGACGCACTGTCGGAGTGTCCAAGAAGAAGGGAGGATAAATTGTTATTTGTGGGATTTCTTGGTATTTTTGCCGGTATCCCCGAAATAAATGTTGTTTTCAAGATCTTGCTCATTATAGTAAAAATATTTGTAAAACTGTATCTTCTAACAAGGAAGAGGAGAGAAATGAGAGGCACCTGGTGCTTGGAATCTATTTCAGAGACATTGATAAACCTTGACGTGAGATCAGGAAGTCGAGGGGGCTCGGATTAATTTTCAGAGGCTTTGAACTGGGAAATTACAGAGAAGGATGCCAACTGAAACCAAGAAATTGTGCAAATTTTTCGAGGTCTTTTTCAGAACTTTCCAGATTGTCTTCCCACAAAAAGTTTTCGAACGTTCAAAATGCTGAATTTCTTTGTTTTCCAGAAGAATTTTATTGAAAAAGACGAGAAATCTTTGTCTCGAAACTCTATCCGCCTGACGCTGTTCACCCAATTTCTTTCATTTTTCTCGTATTTCCCAAATAAAATGCTTGAATATTTTTATTTATCAGAAAGTCTTTCATTCCACCCTTTGTTTTTCAACCGAAATTCGCCGAAAACACGGCAAAAATCCTTTGAAAAATCCACGTTTCAGGCTTGCTACAGTAATCCTGGCGCGCGCGGTGAGATATCTTTGACGCGAAACTCTATGTACCTTTAAGCTCAGTTTTTTTGTCAGCATTTTTCGAATTTTTCTCCTAATTTTAGCTCGAAATTTATTATTTTCACCGATTTTCCGTTTTTTTGCATCAGAATTTGTGTATTTTATGCTGGTTTTATGCCAAATTTCTGATCTCAATGCTTTTTTTCTGAAAAAATGGGGGAAATTATTGAGAAAAATAATTTTTCAGAACTTTTTTTTCCCCTAATTTTCGCTTCAAATTCCTTCAGATTTACCTTTTTTTCGTAGAAATTGTATATTTAAAGTTTTATTTTTTTCCAGACGACAATGAACGGCATCTGTGAATTCTTCAAAGCGCACGGCTTCACGATGACCATCGTCGCCGGTGTCATCATCATTGTTGTTCTCGCCACCGTGGCGTCATGTAAATTGGCGGCTTGGTGGTTCAGAAAGTGAGATTTTTCTAAAAATCTCCCGATTATTTTCAAAAAAAAATCTAATTTCCAGGCGGGATTCCCAACGACTTCTCCAAGAAATCGAGATGCATCAAAGAGAAAAGGCCAAATATCAAGAAATGAGAGATAAGATGAGAGAGCAGCGAAAGGAAGCCGGAAATCGAGGACCATCTGAGGCGGAGGGCTCCGAGACGCAGCCACTGACCCAAGACTCATAATAATTTCACTTATTCTGCACATATTACTACCTCACATTGTACAAATTCCCATATTCTTGTTTATTTTTTCTTCATGAAGCTGCTAACACACTGCCTTGCTAAGAGTCCATCTCCTTCTAAAACTGGTTTTTCCAGCTCCATTTTCTCTTTATTTCAATTTTTGAGCCCCGAAAGTCGTTTTCATGCGATGTTGATAGATTTTCGTGCTCTAAAGTCATTAATTTTAATTTTCCAAAAATTTTTTGAATTGTTGCGCTTTTTTTCAGGGAAAAAACCGCAAAAAAAACGAAAAATACCAACAATTAGCTTTTCAGATCTGAAAACAAGCTACAGTAACCCTATTTTACTATTCGTGGTGGGATATTTTCGGCGGGAAATTCGATGCACCTTTAATTTTCGTCATCATTTTTGCTCGTTTCATCAAATTTTTACAAATTTAGGTTTAATTTTGTCGAATTTTCCAAATTTGCTCCAATAATTCTCAGCTAGAATTGTGAAAAAACATGAATTTCACTTTTCCGAGGCGTTTTTAGCAGAAAATAGCCCAAAAAAGAACTTGTTAGACTTGAAAATCAGCTACAGTATCCCATTTCTAATAATCGTGGTGGGATATTTTAGGCGGGAAGCTCCATACACCTTTAATTTTTTGTATCAGTCTGCTCATTTGCACTAGTTTTCTATAGCTTTTCGGTCTAATTTTTTCGAATTTTCTCGTCCGAAATCCCAAAAATCCTAAATCTTACCCTTCTGTTATCAATTCGACTCGTTTTCATCGGTTTTTGATAGATTTTCGGGCCTCAAAGTCATTAATTCTGATAGTCCAAAAATGTTTTGAATGTTTGCCTCATTTTTCAGAGAAAATATAGATTTTTCATGGGAAAAACACCAAAAACCCCTTTTCAGACATAAAAATGAGCTACAGTAACCCAATTGTACTATTCGTGGTGGGATATTTTCGGCAGGAAACACCATGTGCCTTTAATTTTTTGTCATCATTCTGGCTCATTTTCATCCATTTTTGATAGATTTCGGCCTTATTTTTTTCGAATTTTCCCAAGAATGCCAAATTTTATCTTTCTGTTATCAATTCGACTCGTTTTCATCGGTTTTTCATATATTTTCGGGCTCTAAAGTCATTAATTTTAATTTTTCGAAAACTTTGAATTTTTCAGTGAAACATTCTTATTTTCAAGGTAAAAATCTTAAAAACTAACAATTTAAACCTAAAAACGAGCTACAGTAACCCATTTTTACTATTCGTGGTGGGATATTTTAGGCGGGAAACACCATGATTAATTGATGATTGATTTTGATTGATTTTTAATTTTCGTCATCATTCTGGCTCATTTTTACACGGCCTCGCGGAAGGGAACCTTGATTTAAAAACTGGAAAGCGCGCCAATTTTGGACGCGTTGCGCGGTCGTGTCGCGGCTTTTCGGTGAGTAGCGACTCAACAACGATTAACTTCACGTTTTTTTCAAAACATGTTTTGAAATTTTCGAATCTGGCACGCATCCAACTTTTGTGTGCGACGAAGCGCGCGTTTTTCAGGTTCCCAACCGCGATGCCGTGTTTTTATCCGTTTTTGATAGATTTTCAACCTCATTTTGTCGAATGTTCTCATCCGAAAACTAAAAAAACCGAAATTTCTGAAAAAACCGAAATTAATGAATTCTCGTTTTTGATAGATTTTCGTTTTTTCTAACTCAAATTTTTTCAATTTTCAGAAATGCCAGTGAATCCGCTCATCGCCTATCTCGTCTGCGTTCTCCTCTTCATCGGTATTCTGGTTCTTCTGATTTTCTGGTAAGTCTATACAACAAAAAATCAATAATTCGGTCATAAATTTTCCAGGAATATTCGCCAAATTACTCGTCGTCCAGCTCGCGACCGCTCCTTGAAACCTCTTCCTCTTCACTCGAAAATGTCCGCTCGTCGACACTTCAACAGAAACGTTCGTCTCTCGACGGTGCCACGAAATGGATCACGAGATGCTCATCAGCGAAAATCCCAGGAGCCAGTGGTGCCATCAGAATGCGCATATTTCAAGCAATAATCTCATCGATTGTGTGTGATTTTTTCTTTAATCTGTACAAATTGCTATTATCTCCCGTTCTCACTGTATAACCTTGTCTCGATATTCGTCTCGTGTATAAAAAGAAGAATCTCTTTTTTGGGAATTTTTAAAAAATGAGCGATTTTTCTAAAGAAAAACTTTTTTTCTTATTTTTTGCGAAATTTTTAAACCTTTTTAGTTTTTCCAGCTATTTTTGAAGATTCTTTTTCGATTTTGCCGAACTTTTTTGTCTGAAATTCGACGGGATGGTATTCGCGGTTGTGTTTGTTGAAAAAAGAAACTACAAACTAGAGTTTTCTACAGTAACCTACAGTAATCTTCGAGAACACCACTCAGTTGAATTTCAGACAAAAAATTTGGAAAAAGAAAAAAGAATCTTCGAAAGTAGCTGAAAAACCAGAAAGGTCTAAAAATTTTGCGAAAAATTGAGGAAAAATCAAATTGTTCGCAAAATAAGTTTTTTTTTCGAAATTCGAAATTTCGGTTCCTAAAAATTCAGAAGACTGACAATTTGGAAATATCGTAAATTTTCAAAATTTCAGCAAAGAAATAATTCAAAAGTCCGAAAAACTTTCAAACGGATATTTCATTGAAAATTCGAAATTCCGAAAATGTCCAAATTTGATAAAAATTCGAAATATCAAAAAATTCCAGAAATTTTTTTTCAAATTTCGGAATTTTTAGCCAGATAATTTTCAGAAATTGTTTTTTCAAATTCCAAATTTCTTTAACTGAAAATTCGATATTTAGTTCTGAAAAATTCCAAACCTTTCCCTTTGCCGAAAATTCGAAATTTCGAAAAAAAAGTTTAATTTTGTTCGAAATTCCAAAATTTTTCAAGATTTTCGGATTGTTATTTTACTGAAAATTCGAAAAAAAAACAAAAAAAATTGTTCAAAATTCCAAATTTTCGGGATTTTCAAATGGATTCTTTTCGCAAAAAATTGAAACTTCGCCTTAAAGGTGGTGTACGGTGAAATTTTTATTGCATCCAAATGTGCAGAAATGCATGTAGATTGACATAAAACTAAAGAAAAAATTCGAAAAAAATTCCTTCATCGAGAAAAACGCATCGAAAAATACCCTGAAAGCCCTTAGGGACGAGGTTTTTTCTAGGCCGCCCGGTGAGTAAAAGCGCGCGAATTCAAACTTTTAAAATTTTTTCGCTCGTTTTCACTTTTTTTTTCGTTTTTTTCAAGAGTTTTCTAGGTTTTTGCCAATTTTTCTTCCAGATACATCGGAAAATTTGAAAAAACAGTGAAAACGAGCGAAAAAATTTTAAGAGTTTGAATTCGCGCGCTTTTACTCACCGGGCGGCCTAGAAAAAACCTCGTCCCTAAGGGCTTTCAGCGTATTTTTTCATGCGTTTTTCTCGATGAAGGAATTTTTTTTTGAATTTTTTCTTTATTTTTATGTCAATCTACATGCATTTCTGCACATTTTGATGCAATAAAAAATTTCACCGTACACCACCTTTAAAAATTCAGAAAATTTCCTCTTTTTTCAAGTTTTTGTGCAAAATCCCAAACATTTTTCAAGATTTTCAGATGGTTGTTTTACTGAAAAATAGAAAAAATCCAAAATTTCCAAATTTTCACTGAAATACAAAATTCCAAAGGACCACCCAGAAACCTCAAAGAAACATTCTAACAGCTGTTTCATCTCCATCTCTGCGTCGCTTCATCTCTCCCCTATCAGCTGCGAATCTTTGATTTTCCCTAGGTTTCCAGGGTTTCTTCAATGGAAAGTGTGCTCAATTGAACCAAACTTGGAGGGAAGATCCAAAATTTTCAAAAAACAAATTCAAAAATCCCCAATGTCTCAGTAATTTGACTCATCTCACTAGCAGTAAAAAAAAAGAGAAAAATCACCTCATCCAAAAACCAAAAAAAAGATCAAAGTACTAAAAATTAGCGACCTTCTGAACCTCTTCTTCCTCTCCAAACCGTCCGAAAAAAAAGCGAAAAAAAATGGGGTTTCTCGTAAACAACACACATTCCGAAACATATCGAATTCTCTCTCTCTCTCTCCCTCTCTCTCTCTGGTTTCTCTCCTGAAAATCAATACTATTTGTGTTGTTTGTTGTGTCCCAATTCTTTTTCTCTGCGTCTCTCTACTCTCTCTCTCTCTCTCTTTTCGTGTGTCACAGGAGGGCTGTTGTTTGTCTGTGTTGGTCTCTAGTGTCTGGGTGTGTGTGGCAATTTCTTCTTTTTATACGAATTTTTCAATTTTTTCTGATTTTTCAGCGAAAAAATTTGAATTTTTTTCAAATTTTCGGCATTATAATTTCCCGATTTTTTCAATTTTTTGCTTTTTTCCCCGATTTTTTGAAATTTTAGCTGTTTTCCAGCAAATTCAAAACTCTGAAAAATGCGAAATTTGAACACATTCAACATAATTTTCATCGTCTTAATCTTCGTTCTACTATTGGTTTTGGCCATTTATTTGTGTCGTTTTCGAAGGAAGTGAGTTAAAAATTTTTGGCGGGAATTTGAATTTTCCTTGCTTCATTTTACGCAAAAATGTATGTAGATTCCCATAAAAATGCAAAAAACCGCATCGAAAACGCAAAGTTGTAACTGGTGGCCGAGTGGGGGGTTTTCTAGGCCAACTGCAGAGAAAAGGCGCGCGAAATTCGAATTTTTATTGATTTTTAGTGTTTTTTCAGTACTTTCTCAGGTTTTCAATATATATATATATATATCTGTGAGAAAATTAACAGAAATCTTCAAAAATCTGGAAGAAACACTGAAAATCAATGAAAATTCGAATT